GGTAATTGGGCAGATACATGAAAATTCACAAAAAAACCATCCTTTGCAAACGAGCAAAAAACGTGTGATAAAAATGTTTACAGTATTCTTAAATCAAGCGCTAGTGCTATGGCCACGGTATTACACCACCGCCCATATGACAGCACACGAACAGAAACAGAACGAATGCATGATTCTCCTGTTGGCGCACTGTAATATCCCTGTTTGTTAGTGACGTCAAAATGACACAGTTCCAGTCTGCAGTCTCGGCGAGAATCACGAATTCCGGCTATGCGTTTCGATGCGGAAGACGACAGGGAAAGCACAAAGCGGTTCAAGCGTGCACTGGAGCAACATTGCCCTCCGGTTGACAGTGCCTTGAGGAAACGTTTTAAGAAGATTGATTCTCACTGGCTGGCAACGATTCCCTATCCCGGAAGGAAATGGACTGGACTGCGACAAATACTTGAACTGTATAAGTATAAAAGGGTTTATAAAAAGCTAATGAAAGCTTTAAACTAAAATGGTGAGGCGTTAAGATGGTTAACAATTATCAAGTGCGTTCAAAAAATTTCGTTTTTCGAAATCAACCTTCTGATAGCTGGTTGGGAATATCTGTACATGATTAGTTAGCTCGGGATTTCTTGATTAAGTCGTTCTGGTGTTGTAGTTATGGGCTACCCAAAGGCGAAGGACAAAATACCCCAGACTATCGATATCCCTTGCCATTGTCACATTGTGCCCCTAAAAACTGTAGCTGGATTCGTGGAATTGGCAACGGTTTACATCAGGCACGTCGCGGCTACGCAAAATTTAAAAATCAATCGACAATTACATAATCAGTTAAAACGAAGCAGGAAAAACAGCCGCTGCATACAATAAAAAAGCGGAAGCCATACTTAAAGACCTACAGGTAATATCCTCAAGGGAACTATCAGTTTACGATAAGTAAGCAGTCCTTAACGGTAACAACTACGAAATGTGGGAGCTTGGTTCGACTAGCTCAGGAACGTCGCTCTTCTGTGCATCCGGTGGGCGGCTGGGACAGGTTTTTGGTCGGGCTTTCGTTCCGTGCATGTGCCGGAGTACGTTATCGCGACGGCCGCGGTGCACGGGCAGTAAATGCATACGTACGTCCCTTCGGCGTGATGTGATCTTTTAGCGCGCCTCGGCGATCTAAAATTTACATGGTAGAATACTTTTGGTTGAAAGTGATCCTACTATGATCTCGAATAAAAATATTATGTCCATAGCTCGTACATTTCTCGATCAGCAGGCTCGTCAATTAAGGCCGCAGGTGTCTGCGTGCAGATCGTTCGAGTATCACTCCAGTCCGGTGAGGTTCGAGTGGGAATTGTCCTCGTTTGTGTTGACTGCTGCTGCAGGTGATCTTCTTTTCTGGACATACAAAGCCACAGACAGCAGCGAGTGTTAGGTTGTACAGTGATAGGCGTGTGCTTTTAAAGGAAAATAAATCGCAACCAGGCCTACCCTAACTCCATGGAACTGTTATCGCCTTCCGGCTCCGGAGCACAGCAGTGGGTGTGATCGCGTTCTAACAAACCCCCCGATCTGCAATGTTTGCACACTAGTTAATCGAATCCCTGAAGGTCATAAATGCACTACATACATGGCCACACGTTTGTGAAGTTCCGCCAGTCGCGTGCTAGTTAATGTAACCAACCCTTCCCTCAGTATTTTTGGTCTTTTCGCCTCCAATAGTTTTTTGCTGTGAAAAAAACGCTCATTGTTTTTATCGGCGTGTAGCGTAGAGTATTAGTCCGTTCTGCGATAAACGCGGCTAACGAGGACCGCTCAAGGGACGATATTTAACTTGTTCAGTGGTAAAATCCTGACTGATTTGCTGCAGACTCCATTTAAAAGCTAAATTTTGAGAGAGCATACATTGCCGGATGATATCTTTCCCCGGCAATATAGAGAGTCTCTTCGGCCGTTATTCGTTTGGGATCGTAGATTCCATTTTCGAAGGCTTGGAATCGGGGAGGCGGTGAACGTGCCCTGCAAAACGCCGTTATTTCAGTTGCATGTCCTACTCTGTATATATACAGGAACTCGCGAGGTTCCATGATAAAAATTCACACTGTGCTGTATCGAAAGCATCTGTTCTCACAAAGTCGTTATGTGACCTTTAGCGGCTTACCGTAACCCCGTTCCTGTCCAGTGGTGCTCCACTTCGTATAACGGCATGAAAGCTTGTAGTTCCAGTTGTTCATCATAGTATCGCGATGAACGCGAGTGGAGGTGCGCAACCTGAAAAAAAGCTTTGTTTGCAGCTGTCGGCCAAGAATCGAAATTCCCAGTTTGAAGTAATTCCAACTAGAAGCGCACCGTGGCTTCGTACACCAGCGAAATATCCATTCCAGGCACCGTTACAGAGACCCAAACAATGTTCCCTGCAACTGTAGCTTTGAAATTCACGAGCTTTATACCCGTTTGTGAAAAGAAGTGAAATAAAGTGAAAAGAGTGAAATGAAACGTGAAATGAAACAAGCAATTAAAACTTGATATTTTGGCTTTTATTAGGGTTGCAAACATAAATAAAAATTGTAGAAACTAATAACTGCACATGCAGAACACTGCAAAGTACTAACAAAAGCTGAATTAAATTTGATCTTTATTGCACTGTAAAACTATATACTATAGTTTTTAAAACTAATATTAATTCTTCTCCGTATCCGCAGTTGGAAATCCCATTTTGGTAAATCGAGTTTTTCTACCGAGATAATTTAATTATTAAACCAAATCATATCAGGATGATATCATAAGCTAAACATAACGGAGTCTTGTAATTTTAGGAATAGACAAGTAGTACCTGGCTCATAAAGCGGGATGCCATCGTACTCCGGATCCAAATAGTACTGTAGTCGTTTCCGGTTGATGATCCTGCACATTTTCTGTCAGAACTTCCAAAGTTTCTGGAAAACATTTCTGTGCATTAATTTCCTATTCGCTATTCATACGAAAAGTTAGTTTTTGCATCATGGAAAAGCGATAAGGATAGAAATTTGTACCCCTTTTCGCTGAGAAACGAACGATTTAAAGAAAGGCTGCACGTAACTTTTATGCAATTTCCACCAGAAAGATAAAATCTTGTACTGCCTCATAAGTTACTGATGCCACATCATACTGTACTGTGGATTCTTACTTGCTGTAACTTTCCGACCTGCCGAATTCCAATAATAACCCAGTTACGACACCACAGTCGATTTGCAGTTGCACGTAATAGAGATAGGTACAGTAGCTACAATCGGCAAACGGCTTGCTCGCTCAAAATTTTGAAAGAGAAAAAGCTTTATTTAAATCCGTGCCCTGGAAATTGTTAACGGTGTCATAAAATTAGGAACTTCCGGGAAAGCGTACTCTTAACAGGATCTTACTGCTACTCAATGGCTCTGCTGCAACAAAACATCTGAATATTAAATTTTCTGTTGATCGTCAACAGGCAAGACAGATGGGCTTTGTCGAGCATTACCGAGTTCCGTGTTCCGTATTCAATCGAACGCAATCGCTATCAAAACGGATGCAGTTCAAAGTTTTATTGGCTTTGTGCAAGAATAGTGTACCTGAAGAAACTTCGCTGAGTAAACCAAAATCTTTATAATTATTTTAACTGCAAGTGCACTAACGTTGGACATGGGTTCAGTGCCAAGTAAACGCTAATGCGATCATGGACCATCGTATGCTCCATCGTATTCTTTTTCGGGGCTCACGAGGCATCCCTCACGAAATAATTTCTCAAACACTGTGCTGGTTCATCGCGAGAATGGCGAATGGTGGCTAGGATGCGTGCAGGATATCGATGGTGATCAGATGTCATTTGATTTTGATTGTACGGCGGCTTCCGCCGACTAGATTTATTCACGCCACATCAGGGCATACAGGCATTTGGCCGATGGACTTAGGTGTCTGATCGACCGGCAAGTGCGAGATGTTCGGTGCTGCACTCTCAGCTGCATGGTTCCGGTGGCGCTGCGCACCAACAACGGACCGCATATTTTCGTGTTGTCAATTCATTGCACCTACAGTTGCGGGAAATGCCCTCGTTTTCATTGTATTTCTACATTCAAGCTAAGTGGGATGTCTAGGTTTTACTGCGCCATTATGTGCAAGTTCCCGTGATGCCTGGATAATGCTAAAACAGCCGAAACGCCCAGCTTCATACCGTTCGATATCGTTTACTTGTCCGGTTGGTAATGTGCTATCTTCCGATTGATCCTGTGGTGACCACCGCTAGGACAGAAAGTATAGACGACGTAAAGAAAAGCCAACTACGCAGAACGAAGCAGCCTACCAAAAGTTACTAACAACAGGCATTTAACAACGAAATCCGCCACATAATAATAAGCCTACATTCACAGTGCCAGATAGAATTCAATTAACTACCGACACAGAACAAACAAGCTGGGCGAAGAAGAGTGTAAACCGATACCTCATTTCCTGATTAATCACTTTTCAAGTTACGATAAACGCAATTTAAGCTACTCAGTAGAATTTAGATGCCATGCGACTGAAGGAGCGTATTTAACGCGAGCGAGTAGGTACGACCGTACGATTACTAGGTAGCTAAAATGCAAATTATTGCAGCGACGTCACAACGTTGCCGGCACGGAAAACACGGAAAACTCGCAAATCTGCATTGCGTCGGACACCAAGCTACCGCATATTCGGTCTACTATCGATCTACCGGTCGATTCGGTCTTCTATCGATTCGGGCTACTATCCTTATCCGGCACTCCATCAGACATTACCCACAACTCCGGAAATGCATCTGCATGCATTCACTCTCTGAGCAAACAATGTCATGGTGGTACCTTTGACAGAACATTAAGTGCATTTCCGTAACCGCCGCCTCTGTTTTGTCTGCTGTATTGTCCGCTGGGGCTTTCTCTGCACAGCGTAAATCCACAGATCGATATGTCATGCTTCGAACGAAACCGTTGAAATGATGAGCGCAGACTTTGCGAGATGGTTGCGATAATGAAATGAATAATATACAATGCAGTCAGTCGGATACGGCTCGAGAAACATGGAAATTTCCGCCACCCTTTAGTGAAAATGATGCTCTTCCCATCTCCGTTTTGTAATAAGCTCCAACGCCCGTGAATGCCGATAATAAGCGAATACTTTTCGCGTGGTAGAAGCAGACGCCAAGGACAACTGGATGTGAAAAATCCCGTCCTTGTTAATGTCGCTGACAACGAGTATTGCCTGGGATACCTTCAAGATGTTGATGGTGATAACCTCTTCGTGGACTTTGACTGTACCACCCTTCCGCCATGGTGGTTTCCAGCGGGGCGCGTGTGGTTCTACAACCTCAACCAGGGATACTATCCTACGGATAAGGAAATACTCGTGGCGGTGAGAAACGAGCCAACTGGACCGTATATTTTCCGTCCGGCGATAGTTGTCTGGTACTACTGCGACTTGTTCTTGTGCCGTCTCATTCGAAAGCCAGTGGATTCCGAGACAACCTCACTGCATTTCGTGCACCGTTGGCAAACCGCTTACTGGGATGGAGGGTCGGTGATGAAGCGATCTTCGAAGCTGGATGTCGAGAAGGTTGTGATATGCTTAAAAACGACGGAAATCACTGATGAAATTGACGGGTTTAATATTGCCGAGGATCTAAAGGCGTGTTACCCGGGTTCCGATACGGTTTCCCCACGCTTCGTGGATCGAATCTTTGTGCGAAATAAAGAGAATGAAATTGTCTTCCTGATTGTGATCGGAGGCGGTATCTACGATGCAACGCCATATTATTTATTTGCGCGGCCTTGCTGCAAAATCCACTCAAGAGGTCCAGTTACAGCTGGAAAAGTTGTAGCCAGTGTGAGGAAGTATCTCCATCTTCGCTCCAACAAGCCAGAATTTCCGCGCATTATGCCAGCTTCAGGTATCTTCTTAGCAGTTAGCAGCTCATATGGGTTGTCGTAAAATACATGCCACTATCCCTGGAAGCAGTTGTGCTTGTGCTCATTGCACAGTTATTTAGAGAAATACAATCCGAAATAAGTCAAATGTGCCTCAAAAACCGGTCACTTTGAGTATAATCACCGACAACTCACGCATTCGAATTTTGTAAAAGCCCAGAACTTTCAAAAGGAATGGTTGAAACAAGCTTAAAAGCAAAAACTCTGAACCAGGACCCATAATCGGTGTTTTGAACTGCATACTCAAGGTGACCTGTCTTTGAGGGGGAATCGAGGCACATAATACTCTTAGTAATCCCCTTCACAACGATACAAGTCTTACGGCTACTTCATGAGTCTTCTTGCAGATAGAACTGAATGCCCTTTTACGTTTCTTCCAACTGAAATCACGAAGGAAACTTTGCTTTACTTGGACGTCCACTCACAGGCCGTTACCAAGCGGTGAGAACCGTAACTGTGACGGTCACAGTGTGACCGCAAAGTTCAATCGTTGTGAAACATTTGTTTTTAATTTAGAATACAAAAAACTGCTGAATTTATCGCCGAAAATGCATTTTTACTAAGATACGAAATCGTGTACTTCGCACGGGGCCTTAAGTTTTCCCCTCATGCAGTACGGGAAATTTTGTTTTCCCCGGCACATGTGCCGCTTACACGCGAAAAGCTGACTGCAGTTTAAAGCCGCGTGCGATGCGGCAACACGTTTGCCGTTATTCTGAGTTGTCTCTCTGCTCTCTTGTTCAGTTGCGCAACCGGATATACCGAGTTGGCTAAAAACCGGTTTTAAGCTGCAGGCAACTTTTAGGCTGCATTCGTGTAAGCGACTAAGCGGCACATGTGCGGGGGAAAACGAAATTTCCCGTACTGCATGAGGGGAAAACTTAAGGCCGCATGCGAAGTACTGTACTTTAAGACAACATTCCGTTTCCGTCATACGCATATCATTGGTAGAGGATACTGTACTACAGTAGGTTGAAGCAAAGCATACGCGTGTGAGAGTCAAAGGTTGCGGGAAAACCGGTTTTCTAATGGAAGCCGGAAAAGTCGGTTTTGTCGGTGTATCATTAATTATACATGTAATATCGCAGATAATGCTCTACGGTAATCTGCACGAAAACGAGTAACACTGGAAAATTAGTTCATATGGAATGTTGGCCGTAATTGCAGCGTATGCGCCCTGTGGAACATTCTAATGTCTGATGTCGATTCGTCAGTGTTCGCGACAATCGACTTCAGTCGAAAGGGTATGTCGCCGTTCCACCGCGCTACGACAAGCTATCATTATGGATTCGTATTAAATCATGCTGTGAGCCGAGACACCAAAGTGTTGTCACTATTAAAGCTGAGTCAACGCGTTAACAACAATGAAAGCATGGCTGCACTGATGGAGATCACCAGCACCGTGCTGACTATGAACAACGCCCATTTATCTGTGCTGCTGGTGAAACATTGGGAGGTGACCGTTAATCGACCACCGGGTGTAAAATTTGAAAGCACTGATTTCTTCGATTTCCAAACCAGCGAACGCCACTATCCGATTTTACCATTACAATTGAAGAAATTCTGTCGGCAGTTGGTTTTCTCACAGTTTGTCGTGGACTTTGATATGCATTTCGATAAGAAAACCTTTCCCAAATATGCCAAACATCGGATGCCGGGTTTCGCTCAAGCCAGCACTTTGAGCAGTCTGCGCATCGAAATTCCCAATGTGCGCTTTGCTGGCGAGGATAGTTTCGACGACAGCACAGATCGGTTTACGCGCACACTGGACGACTGCTGCCCGACGACGGACTGGTTCACTAAAGAACAGCTATGGCGACTCCATGCCGCCTGGGTTCATACTGTTCCGTATCCAGGGAAGAAGTGGGTTGTATTCATGCAGCATTTAGAATAGTAAGCACACTTCCACTTGCTGACGAGTATGTACCGTTTTGAGATGTGTCCACTACAGCAATATGAATATACAATATTTCGCAGTTATGGAATACGCCAACATGTGGGTTCATCAGTTTGGAGGGATTTGGATCTACGGGAGTTCGACAATCTTCCGTTTAGCAAACTTAGTTTGGCGATTCTTACTCGTGACTATCTTCATCCTTAGCCATCTATAAAGTAATTCCAGAAAATGTGTCGTTGCGCTGGTATTCTACTGCTTCATGTACATTTTCCTAGTTTGTTAACCTTTTGCAATCTGATAGTTTAATTTGACCTTTTTTATAATTAATTTTGTGATAATTAATTAATTTTGGGAGCTTATAAACCAAACATTCATAAAGCCAGAATAAGATATTCTGTCTGCACATGGATTTTGGCAAAACAGATTATCACGAACAAGAAGGTGTCTACATAAGGTTCAAGCGGATACGAGTAAGTTCTGTACGATTGAATGCAAAAGTGGATTTGTAACCGGATGCGGACGTAGGCAATCAAAACATACACACTCTTTATACAAATAAAACTTAACTCCGATTAATTTTTTTAACTGCGCGTTGGTCTGGAAATCTATGTGCAACCATAGATTTGTTCTACTCTGCTTAAATTGCATTCTATTCCTTTCCAGCTTTCTTAAACTTTAGCGAAAATAAGTAAATACGTTGCCATTTGGCATTTCTTTTCTTTGACGCCGATTCACACACCGGCAATCTGTAAAAGTTGTGCTTTGCGTTGTGAACACTGGACACATGTTTTATTACATATTGAACACATTATGCAGCACTTTAGTTCCTAATCCGGGGTCCGCCGCGTATGTGACGATTGACTGCAGCGGCATCAGCACGACATTGCCAAGCTACCCGGAAATAAAAGGCTTTCGGCTGGCGACGCTGTTCCACCAAGGGGTATCTGTGAAACCAAGGAGCCCGCGCTGCTGCACGTCGACCATCGCGCTGACAGTGTCTAGGCTGTCGCGCATGCTGCAGTGGATTTGCTTAGCCTGAAGAGCGTGCACATTTTTGTATTACTCGTCAAATATTGTCGGGCTCCGCTGGAAATCGCTCCGGCCTGCCATCCAGACGATCTTTACGAGCATTTTCACGGGAATATCCTGTTCCAGTTGCTGAAGAGTGCCTGCCATCATTTACTGGTCAACTGGTGCGGCATTTCGTCATTGATGGTTCGATGGCGCGTTTACCACCTTATCATAATCCAATGCCCAATGTTGTCAGATGGGACAAGCCATTTGCGTTAATGTTCTTTTTCCGGCAATTCGTTTTGATGCGAAAGATGGCACGGAAAGCACACAGCGGTTTAAGCGTGCACTGGAATAGTACTGCCCTACGGTGGAAAATGCCCTGAAGAAACATTTTAAGGAAGATTTATTTTTGCTGGCTGGCAACGATTCCATATCCTGGAAGGAAATGGACTGGACTGCGACAAATACTTTGACCGTACGTTTATGCTTTATAATAAAAAGAAGGTGTATTAATGTAGTTTATAGCACTCAGTTTTGTTTACAAATTTCTTTACTCCAAAGCAACTTTCTGCTAACTAATCGGAAATACTTTATTAATTCGTACGTGTTCTGGTGATTAAGTCGTTCTGGTGTTTAAGTTATGGACTGCCTGAAGGCGAAGGAGAAAATGCATCCGACAAATGGAACACTTTGGATTTGCGGAAACTGGATAGTATTCCTTTTGGTAATCTACAGCTGCTTGTTCTGGCTCGTCTTTATGTTGCTTAAGCGATTTCATGATGATGATGATAATTTGTACAGTACCATTTTTGCTAAATTACATGCTTTTGTGTACTTATGTATATTCGTTTCTCAAAGAACATTCTATTGCGTTGACAGGGAGATGTTTACTGAATTAAAGAAAAAGCTGATTCTCCTGATATGAAAACTGGTCGAAAACGCACTTATGAAAACCTTTATTAAACCAGAGAGCGGAGCATAGGATGCTTCGAAAACTGTTATGTAGAAAACTGTCGCTTTTTGTCGACCGGCGATATTTTCTATCGAAACGTCACCCCAGGAAAACACATACTTTTTCTGAAATGACGGACGCTGTTTAAGTTCCAATATCAATCCTAACTCCAAGAAGCGCGTTTGCCACGAAAGTTCATGCCACGCCAATATATTGCTCAAGGCTGAAATATGTTAAGTTTTATGTTATGCCACCTGACAAGCTTTATAAAGCTCTCTATGTGATATAGTATTCATCATCAGAATTTGGAAAGCTTCTGGCAAATATTGATTTTCTTGTGTTCCCGTGTTTTGCCAGCGACAGACATCGCCGAGCAAACAAAATTGTGGTAGTTCATGCGGTAGAGTTTTAGTGTATTTACTTAAGCAACTCCAGTTCTCTGAGCTGTATTGTTCGCTAACATATCCACTGCAAAATCCACAAATCGATATAATGTATGCCAACCATCAGCCCATGCGATTTTCCGTCAAGAAGCGTTCGAATGAATCAAATGCTATCGACAACTGCAAGTAGCGGTAACCGTATTTGATGTTAAACGGTCAAGTGAGTCAATCGCAATAGCTTGAGGAATATAAAAATTTTCTAATCCCTTCAATGACGATAATAAGCCAATACTTTGAGCGCGGTAGACGCATGAATAACGGCCAGCTGAATGTCAAGAATCCAGTTCTAGTTAATGTGGGCGACAACGAGTACTACCTGGGATTTCTCCAAGATGTCAATGGTGACGACCTCTTCGTGGACTTTGACTGCCCCACCCTGCCGCCCTGGTGGATTCCATCATGGCGTGTGTGGTTTTACAACCTCAACGAAGAGAAGTATCCTATAGCGGACATCAAACCAGTGGATATACTTGTGGCTTTGCGAAATAACCCAACTGGACCCTATATATTCCGCCCGGCAAAACTGGTCGCCTGCTATTATGACCTGGTCTTTTGCAGTATAGCCAGTTCAGCAGCCGATAAGGAGGCAACTTCACTGCACCTCGTTCACCGCTGGCAAATTGTTAACTGTAGACGGTTTGGGTGTTCGTTGTTGGATGACTATGGCAAGATGGATGTGGAAAAAATGGTGATACCTTTAGAAAAGCCAAATGTTATTGATTGGTTGGATGAGTTTGATATTGACGAAGTACTGAAAGTGGTTTATCAGGGTGAAGAGACTATTTCTTCCAATGAGTGGGTGGATCTAATCTCTGTGCGAATGACAGAGACGGAGGTTGTTGTCCTTATTGCGTGCGCAGGATATCATCACGCACTATCGAAAGACTACGTATTCGCACGTCCCTGTTGCAAAATTCACCGGGAAAGCCCGAAAACAGCGCGAAGAATTTTATCTGGTCTCAGACAGCATCTTCTTCCTCGCTGCCAGCCAGAATATCCCCGGGTTTCGAGGACATACACCTTCTTACCAATGCAACAAAAGGGTCCGTACCCTGACCCCATTCGGTGGGAAAGAAAATCTTTCCGACTAAGAAAAATAAAGAAATTGTCGCATGTGCAAGCACAGAGAAAATTTAGCTTCTATTATTTACGATACCGAGTGAGTTACCGACACATGAGTAAAGATAGCTTTGTATATTCTTGCAGATAGCGTTGGATGCATTTTCACTTATATGTCTACCGAAGTCACAAAGGAAATTTTGCTCTGTTTGGATGTACATTCACAGATTGTAGCAAAACGGTAAGAATTTAAGATGTGACTGAAAGGAACCAATGACGCAGTTTTCGATAATCGGGATGCAAACACCAACGCCTGCTCGGTTTGCTATCCATTCCAAAATGATATACCTAGGTTGTGTTTACAGCGTATGCGCCTTGTGGAGCATTCTACTGTCCGATGGTAATTCACCGGTATACACAACAATCGACTTTAGCAATAACAACTTATGGCCGTTCGTCCGAGAAACCAGAAGCTACGACTACGCATTCATACTGAATTATGCTGTCAACAGTATGACCAAAATATTGTCGTTGCTTAACCCGAATGAACGGTTCACTAAAATCGATGATCTTGCTGCTCTCTTGAGAATTACCGACACCGTGCTGACTGGGAACAACATCCAGTTGTCTGTGCTGCTGGTGCAACATTGGGAGATAGCCGTTAATCGACCACCGCCTCCTAAATTCATCGGCTTCGATATCACTTATGCCCACGTTAGTGACCGCTACTATAAGGTATTTCCACTTCAGCTGCGGAAGTTCTGTCGGCAGTTAGTGCTGTCCCATTGCGCCGCAAACGTCGACGTGCACTTCGATAAAACAACGTTTCCCAAATATGCAAAGCACCGGATGCCTGGTTTTCACGATTTCGCCTTCGATTTTAATCTGCGATTAAAAATTCCTTGTTTGCGCTTCGATGGCAACGAAAGCCTGGAAGTCAGTGCGCTTCGTTTCAGGCGCACATTGGATAAATGCTGTCCTGCAGTGGAAGAGTGCAAAAAAGACCGGCTGAAGAAAGTACACTCCCGCTGGGTTCGTGATGAACCGTATCCAGGGAAGAAATGGGCCGTATTCAAACAGCATCTAGAATAGTAAGCACAACATGACTTGGTACAACGTCGGTGCAGTTTCTGGATGGAGTGTGCACTTATTTTTTGTAGTTATGGAGTGGGCGAACCTTTTGGTTCTTCGGTCTGGCGGGATTTCGATGTGCGAGTGTTCGACAATCTTCCATTCGGCAATCTCAGTATGGCGCTTCTCGCTCAAGACTATCTGTATTTTTAACAGCTAACGAAATAATGCCGGAAGATTTGTCGTTGCATTGGTTTTTGTCTACATCGTTTATATTATCTCATTGTAATATTTACTTTTTGTAAATGATGATGACATTGCGGAATCATTCACCATTAATGTGACCTTTTGATAATTAATTTAGCGAAATATTTTTACGGCTAGCGGACGACTGGCATAGCACATATTCACAACCAATATGAAAATATTTCATTTTACGTACGAATAGTAATCACTGAGGTCGCCTGACAGTCTTCGCACTGCATTAACACGGTTGGAATTCCCTGAATTAAAAAGATTTTATGTACTATCGTATGTTCTCCTGTCTGTGAGTACGGGTGGAAGAAGTCCCCGTCGCCTAAATGTTTTATTCTGGTACGAAAAGTTTCAGATGGTGTAATGTGAGGAGGTAGAACATTTCTGTCAATATAAAATACCGAAAAGCAAATTCGTTCCACGGTAACACAGTTCGGCATAATGAGGGTTTTTAAGGGATTTTAAGATACCCACGAGTCTAATGCTATGGCAGACACAATTTCAACGAGTATTTTTTGAAGGTTCGATATGAGGGCAAATTGGTGCCGCGAAGTGTGAACTGTGGACATATCCTGCGCG